CTGTTAAGAACAAGCGTCACCACACGCACAGTACACAGAGGAAGGAGAGACCCGCTTACACTAACACATAATAAACAACAGGACGTGAACACTAAAGTTAAGAACAAGGTCACCACGTACAGTACACAGAGAAGGAGAGACCTGCTACACTCAACACATAATAAAACAACAGGACATGAACACCTGTTAAGAACAAGCGTCACCACGTACAGCACACAGAGGAAGGAGAGACCCGCTACACTAACACATAATAAAACAACAGGGATGAACACCTGTTAATAGAACAAGCGTCACCACGTACAGTACACACAGAGGAAGAGGAGACCTGCCACACTAACACATAATAAATAACAGGACATTTAAACACCTGTTAAGAACAAGGTCACCACGACAGTACACAGAGGAAGGAGAGAGACCTGCTACACTAACACATAATAAAAACAACAGGACATGAACACCAGCGTCACCACGCACAGTACACAGAGAGGAGGAAGGAGAATTCACACTAACACATAATAAACAACAGGACATGAACACCTGTTAAGAATAAGTGTCACTACATGTACAGTACACAGAGGAAGGAGACTGGCCACACTAACACATAATAAATAACAGGACGTGAACACCAGTTAAGAACAAGGCCACTCACGTACAGTACACAGAGAGAGGGAAGGAGAGACCTGCCATACACTAACACATAATAAACACAGGACATGAACACCTGTTAAGAACAAGCCACTAATGTACAGTACACAGAGGAAGGAGAGACCTGCTACACTAACACATAATAAAACAACAGACACGAACAAACACTAAAGGTAAGAAACAAGCGTCACTAATGCATAGTACACAGAGAAGGAGAGGGTATCTGCCACACTAACACATATTGAAATAACAGGACGAACACTCTGTTACAAACAAGGCCTACGTACAGTACACAGAGGAATAGAGACCCGCTTACACTAACACACACATAATAAAATAACAGGACATGAACACCTGTTAAGAAATAAGCGGCCACACAATGCACAGTACAGAGGAAGGAGAGACCCGCTTACACTAACACATAATAAATAACAGGACGAACACCTGTTAAGAACAAGCGGCCACCAATGCACAGTTCACAGAGGAAGGAGAGACCCGCTACACTAACACATACACAAAATAACAGGACATGAACACCTGTTAAGAAATAAGGCCACCAATGACAGTACACAGAGGAAGGAGAGACCTGGCTACACTAACACATAATAAACAACAGGACATGAACATCTGTTACACGTACAGGGCTACTAGAGGAAGGAGAGACCCGCCACACTAACACATAATAAATAACAGGACGAAACACCTGTTAAGAACAAGCGTCACCACGTACAGTACACAGAGGAAGGAGAGACCAGCTACACTAACACATAATAAAATAACAGGACATGAACACCTGTTAAGAACAAGCGTCACTAATGCACAGTACACAGAGGAAGGAGAGACCCGCTTACACTACTAACACATAATAAATAACAGACATGAACACCTGTTAAGAACAAGGCCACCACGACAGTGCTAGAGGAAGGAGACCCGCAACACTAACACATAATAAATAACAGGACGTGAACACCTGTTAAGAAATAAGCGCTACCACGTATAGTACACAGAGGAAGGAGAGGACCCGCTACACCAAACACATAATAAAATAACAGGACATGAACACCTGTTAAGAAACAAGCGTCACCACGCACAGTACACAGAGGAAGGGAGAGACCCGCCACACTAACACATAATAAAATAACAGGACATGAACACCTGTTAAGAACAAGCGTCACCACGTACAGTGCACACACAGAGGAAGGAGAGACCCGTTACACTAATACATAATAAATAAATAGACGAACACCTGTTAAGAACAAAGGTCACCACGCACAGTACAGAGGAAGGAGAGACCAGCTACACTAACACATAATAAACAACAACAGGACATGAAACACCTGTTAAGAACAAGCGTCACCACGTACAGTACACATAGAGGAAGGAGAGACCCGCTACACTAACACATAATAAAATAACAGGACATAAACACTTGTTAAGAACAAGCGTCACCACGTACAGTACACAGAGGAAGGAGAGACTCAAGAACACTAAAGTGACATTAACACAGGACGAACACTCTGTTACAAACAAGCTGCCACCACGTATAGTACATGTAGAGGAAGGAGAGAGAACGCCACAACCACACACACATATTAAATAACAGGACATGAACATCTGTTAAGAACAAGCGTCACCACGGCAGTACACACAGAGGAAGGAGAGACCCTGCTACATTAACACAGCATTAAACACAGGACATGAACACCTTGTTAAGAACAAGGCCACCACGACAGTACATGAGGCTGAGAGACCCGGCTACACTAACAACACATACAAATAACAGGACGTGAACACCTGTTAAGAACAAGGCCTACGTACAGTACACAGAGAGGGAAGGAGGAGACCCGCTACACCAACACATAATAAATAACAGGACATGAACACTCTGTTAAGGAACAAGCGTCACCATGTACAGTACAC